TTGACTCCCATTGATTTTCAGTCAATTTCAACCCTTTCTATGCCCTAACCCTGACAATAACCCTAAACCTAACCATTACCAGTGCATGCCTAACCCTAACCTTAACCTAAAGTCAATTCACACCTTAGTCCTAAACCTAACCGNGTTAGCAAAATAGGTCGTGAGGACCAGCAAAATGTCCTCACTTTGGTACAAACGGTCCTCAATTTGATGGTGAAATCGGGAAAATGGTTCTCACTGTGATGCCAAGACAGGAACACACACACACACGTACACACACACCATCCCCCTCATCCCTCTGGCAGTTTGCAGTTGTATGGAAACACAGCTGACCCTTGTGGCCTCCCAGTGTTCATGCCAAACCAACCAGTTACCCCATCCATCCATCTGGAGTTAATTCATTACCTGGCCTCCATGCCAGCCACAAACACTGATATGTGTTTGTGGCCAGAGCTGTTAGAGACCAACTTAAAGTAGAAATATTGACAACAAACTCAGATGTTTTCACATCTGTAAGAACTTTGGACTGAAAAAGGGACCTTTTTATGTTTAACCAACCAATAAAATCAATGGAACCATTCTGATAAAGGATCTCTGCTCAGGTTTGTGATGGGCCATCCATCCATCCATCCTTGAACCCCTGCAGGACTCTGCAGGATCTCATTCTCAGGTCGGAACACATATGGAGCTAAATTGGGGCCATAAGGTTTATTAAAAAAAAAAGAAAACAATTGAAAGCTTTGAATTTTATTTTCATGTTCAAAATATTTTTTGAACAAACTTTATGGCTTAATTTTAGCTCCATAGACTCAGTGTGGCTGAGTCTCAACCTGGCATCTTCACAATCAGGTGCAGACTTCTGCAGAGCACTATGATGGTCTTGGCTTGAAGACCCCAAATGATGTTGAGGTTCTAACCCAGGAACCCTCCGGTCCACAACACACCTTGAGATCATTTCCATTAGCATCACAAAAAGCACTGGAGACAAGAGGAAGCCTTGGTCCAACATGCTCGGGGAGACCAGACTGTATGGTGAGAACATGTTGAGAATGCTCAGCTTGCTGTACAGAGACTGGACACCCTGTAACCCCAGCAGCCACATTCTTCCAGCAACCCCAACCAAATCTCTCATAGGACACAGTTGTGAGTCTTCTCCAGGATGAGACGATCATACCTCCATGACCTCAGTGAATGGGAGTCAACACCTCACTCATTTCTAGCATCCATTCTGGTTTCATCCATGCAGAAAATTCCCCAATCCTGGTTATGATATTTTCTACATTCAGGAGACAATATATAATTAAAATGTGAAAACTGAACTAAAATGAGAGAAATCCACCTTTAGCATGGCCCAGATCCTTTTAAAGCTAGAATCCAAACCTGAACATTCAGAGAGTGCTTGCAGTAAAAACAAAAGCTAATGTGATGTTTGTAGGTCCGCCAGTGTGGACCAGTAAGGACCAGTGTAACATTTTATATTAAATGAAAAGCAGAATCAGTAAAGCTGAGGATAAAAACAGAAACACTGCAGCGCTTCCAGAAAGGAAAACCTGACCTGTTTTAAACACACACACACACACACACACACACACACACACACACACACACACACACACGCAGCATTCATTGTTAATGGGAGTGAAGTACTCTGTGTTGACTGTGGCTGAGCAGAGAGGCGGCGAGACGTCAAACAGCATCAACATCAAACTACAGAGTTCAACTACGGCTCACCGGCGCCGCCCTGCCGCCGCAGCGTGAATGCTGCACCCCATCTGACCTGCAGGTGCTGTTACACTTTGTCTGTGGCTTCTGACACCTGAGTGTTACAACTGCTACACTGCTGCAGACACAGCTAGGCCTTATGTGGGATGAGGAGCTGGTCGTAAACTGGAAACCATCTTTAATAGAAAGAGTCTGAGTTATTTATAGAGTTATCACTGACACCTTCTGGTCAGAACCAATCAGAAGCGGTTCCAGATGGCCTAGAAGCTTCAGATTAGCTTCAAACAAAATATGATAGAAAAATCTCTGATCCTGATCTTGCTTAAATTATCACAATTTTCTCATCTGAACCAACCAGAACGCCTTCTTTTGGTTTAGAGTTTAACTCTGAGGTGGATTCAGCGTGCATCTCAGCAACACTACAGGACCTAACATCATCTTAATCTGCACGATGGTGCAGTTGGTAGCACTGTTGCCTAGCAGTAAGAAGGTCATGGGTTCAATTCCTGTCTATCTGCGTAGAGTTTGCATGTTCTCCCTGTGTGGGGTTCTGCGCCGAATGAGGAATGAATTTTGTGTGAATCTACCTCAGAACAAAGATAAAGATCTAATGAAGATGCTGCTGTGTCCTGGATCAACATGGGCTGAAAGGTTCTGAAGTCAGTCCAGCCTGGTTAAAATTAATTATTTCATGGTCATAGTTCAACTCATTAAAAGAAAGGCTTTTAAAGTTTATTGATTTCCATTTGCTGCATAGAAAACAATTTACAGTCTATGCTCAGCAATAGGAACAGGCTTTGGTCACTCTTCTTTAAAAACACTTGCTGTATTTAAACTCATTTATGAAATTAATTAAAAGCTGATTTAGGAGCACCACATTTACCTTTTAAATAAAAATCACTGGATAAATTTGGCCCCGTTTACTAAAACATGAAGACTTTGCATTTTATTCTGTAGATAAAAATTTGGAGTAGAAAATAAATCTGTGAACCACCTGTGTTGGTGAGCCAAATTTGCACCATTCTTGAATTGCAGTCGGGGGCCGCAAAAAATCAGCCCCACAGCCCGAGGGCCACACTCTGGACACTCCTGCCTTGAGCATCCCACCAAATGAGTCAGAATTCCCTGAGTCTCCCAGCAACCCGCACAGCCGGGAAAATTGGACTTACTGGAGGTCTTTGGGTTCCTGCCCTACAATTAGCTGGTGGATATTAGTTACTGTGCGCAATAGGGGTGTGGTATTAACTGAAAAGAAGAGGGTGGATTGCTTTTTATTGCTGCTGAGATCCTTTTAAGTGAGGCCAGAGCAGCAGTTTGAGCTGTGCAAAATAGTCGCGATGTGAAGGACGTCAGAACTTACTTGGAACGGTGCCAGAAGGTACCGCTGTGATGAGGTTGCAGCCTTGGTGTGTGAGGCCAGCATAATTAGTCCTGCCGCAGATGTACGACGACCCAACCATACATGTGGGTGCAGACCCCGCGCCGTGGGTAGGCATGAGTCTCTTCCACACTGATCAGAAACCACAGCAGCCTGGTCTTCTTAGCAAATTTCTCAGATGCCCATTCTTCTCTCTTGCCTTAAACAGTCTAATATTTACTCCATCATCTACTAAGTAATTACTCATTTATTTAAAATATTATTTTTGATGCATTTTACTGAAATACATTGGAGCCAGAATAATTTGTTTCACTAGAATAAAAAAACTCTTAACAGACCAAATAAAAAAATGATCTATTTTGACGTAAAAGAAAATAGTTCCTAATATTTGTAGTAATTCTACAGTGGAGCAGAGTGAGTCTTGGGAATCAGCTTCAGAGATCGGCTCTGATTCAGATCTTTCGGGTCAAGCTGCTGTCCTCAGACATCCTCAGTAAAATCCAAATGACGGCCTGTTTGGAAGTTATCAAACTGCATCTAAAGGAGTCTGACAGGTTCTGTTGTTCCCGGGTCGAATTCTCTGTTTACACTAATCAACGCTTCTATTGTGTTCTGACCCCAGTTGACCAGTTTTCAGTTGAAATATCCCATAATATTAGACTTGCAAAGCTTTGAAACAGCTACATAAACACAACAAAACCACTGGCTATAATTTAATTTGATGTTGGTGTTGACACCGCTCACCTCCAGCCCGCTTTAATTCCCATTCTGTGCCAAATAATTAAAGGCATTTACCACCCAGGGATTCTGTATAAAAAATATTCTGCACCTACAGAATAAAACTAAACATTGACAGAAACCCAGACGGCCGTTGATTAACAGCGGCTCTGCTTCTCACCTGCTCATTTTCTTCAGGGATTATGGTGCTCAAGCTGAACTAACCTCAACCCAGACCAGTGGAGTTATACACTTGTTGGGTTTGAGTAAAGATTCTTCCCTGCCATAAGGAGGCGCTGTAGTGTTTTGGGTCAAATTGTCGGTCTTGTAAACAGAAGGTCCTGGGTTCATATCCCAGCAGTGTCTTTTTTGTCTTTTTCTGGGGACAATGATTTACTGACCAGAGCTTCTCAGTGGAGTCCAGATGTTGGGAGTTTCCAAACCAAAGGCCCAAGATTTCAGGTTGTCATTTTATGAAGAAGTGAGGTGTTAAAAATGAAGCCCAGGTAGCTAAGAAGACATTTAACAGAAAAATGTCGAGATGTGCCTGCAGTTAAAGAGAGAGTGAAACTTCTAGCAGACAACAGGAAGGATGAAAGAGTACTGCAAAGTTGATCAGTTTTATCCTTTTGAGCACTGAACCATTCTATCATGGAACAGGTTCAGAGTTAAGGTAAGGCTCTCTAATCCCTTCACGTAGTACAGAGACTGCTGTTATAGTAATGCTAGCCACGCTAATATAAGATATTAAAGACAGTTTAAAATGTCAACTCTGTAACCACCTTGTCTCAGACAGACCATGTTAAACCTGTTGAACCATTTATCGTTGTTAAAATATATTCCAATGTGAAACCCCTTTGTTGTCTCCTTACCTGTTCTCATAGTGCATGTTTGGGTTCTCTCTGGGTACGCCAGCTTCCTCCCACTGTTGAAAAGCATGACTGTTCAGTTAATTGGTGTCTCTAAATTGCCCTTAGCTAAGAGTGTGTGCATGGTTGTTTGGCGAACAGTCCAGAGTGTGCCCCCCTCTCACCCAGTGACCTGGAGACAGGTCAAGGATACGCAGGTATGGACAGTGGGTGGAAGGACAAAAACACTTTATGGAGACTCAGTAACTTTACAGATCCTGAGTGTTGGTCGGGGTGATGGGTCGAACCATCCAAGATACACCACATGTCTGAGAGGCACTGTAGCTTAGCTGGTTAAAGCATCTGTCTCGTAAACAGAAGATCTTGGGTTCAAATCCCAGCAGTGCCTTATTATTAGTAATGTTTCTCTACCCAACACCTGAGCAAATACAAAACTGATGTTGTGAAGTGAACAGCCAAGCATGTTTCCATGAAATTGGATCTGGAATGCTGATCTGAGAGGTTGTAATCTGTGTTCCCACCGTATGATGGTCCATCTCTGAGTGCAGAGAAGCTGTTGGTTGAGGTTAACTTCAGGTTTCCCCTCTGGGTAGTAAAACCTTATGAAGGTAAGTCCATAATGTAGAGTTGACCAAAAAAAAACCTCTCCATGAGGATCCATCCGTGGTTGATGAATGACCGTTCCTGATTACACACTGGATTTAAATGTCTGAAGGAAGCCAAAACCTGCAGAACCAGTTCATTTCAAAGAGCCAAGCAAACCATGGGCAGGTTATTTCCATACACATATATATGCAATATATACAGGGGTTGGACAATGAAACTGAAACACCTGTCAGGTCGGTTTCATGGCTAAATTGGACCAGCCTGGTAGCCAGTCTTCATTGATTGCACATTGCACCAGTAAGAGCAGAGTGTGAAGGTTCAATTAGCAGGGTAAGAGCACAGTTTTGCTCAAAATATTGAAAT